TAATAGTAAAAATTAATAAAAAATATTATTTTGTTTCTTTTGAGAAATCCCACTGTCCGAATGTAGTCAGCTTTTGTTACAAACTGGATTCAGGTTACGCCAGCTTTAATCGTTATAGGACTATACAACTTCCTGACTCCTGTTCCTGTCCCCTCTAAGTATCTTATTAATATCTAATATCGTACCGCCAGGAGATAGTGAACAATTTTAATTTTATTATCCTTCTTAAAAATGCTCCTATTGCCGCATTTAATACAATATTTGAAATCATGTTCATAAAAGTGTTCTTGTCATACATTGAGAGGTTCAAAATTCATTTTACGTTTTCGCACACAGTTAGAATTTAAACTATGGAGAGAGAATTACGTAAGGTATATGAAGAGCTTTACGGCATATCTTTGTGAGGCATACCCAAGCAAATTATATCATCTTGTTAGAACGTGCTGATCATAATGCTGTATTAACAACCGTCCGTTTACTATGTGCTTTCCGACCATAATGTTTCACGAAAAATAAAATTAACCAAAAAGGAAAAAAAAAAGAAAAAAAAAAAAATTCTGAAACCTTTCAGATTATTATATTACGATAAGACATTTAATTTTAAGATATTTTATATTATTTATTTTTCATATACAGACACATTTCCAGAGCATTTGGGCTAATGCTACTTTGGACTGAAAATATTTAAAAACAGCATATCTAGAATTTTCGATAGATAATCTCGCGCGCTGCAGATAAAAATTTTTTATTTTTTACAGTGTTTCACTGCTGGCTTTGAAACTGTTGAGTTTTTAATCAAAAATTCGTTTTAAAGTTTTACGAAATATGAAATAGACAATAAAACAAATTATAAAATCCAAATTCGTGCTTCCAGGTGCCCATATTCGAATGGAGGACTGCGTTATTCAAAATTTGATGGCTCTAGGTCTCGTTGTTTTTCCACAGTGCGAGAAACATCAAATTTAATTTATTTTAAATCATATTCATGAACGTGTTCTTGTCATACACGAAAGGTTCAGAATTCACATACATTGATGCACAAACTAGGGGAAGAAATCCGTAAGATATACGAAGACCTTTACGGCATATCAGCATGAAGCCATACTCAGACGAAGTAGATTAATTCGTGATGCTTGTATTAACAACCGTCCGTTTACTATGTGATTTCTTAATTTTTCACTGGAAAAAAGTCTGAATGCTTTCAAATTTTATATTACGCTCAAAATGGAGTTTTTGTTTCCATTTATATACACATATATTTTTCGAGAGCATTTAGGCTAATCTTCCTTTGTAGGCTATTTGGGCTAATATCTTTAGAATTTCCGATAGACAGTCTCACGCGCTGGAGATAAAGGAGATGGAATTTTTTTTTTTTTTTTTTTTTTTTTTTTTTTTTTTTTAACAGCGTTGCCATTGCTCGCCTTGAAATCATTGAGTTCGTTAATTAAAAATTCGTTAAAGGCTTTCAAAATATGAAATACACAATAAAATAATTCAAAATTCACTCAGGAACTGTTGAATATCATCAAAGCAGGTGTTGATGGGAAATACCTTAGATATTTTCATATACATTGATCTGTCTTTTGTTATGTCGTGGAATTTTTTATATTCACAGAATCAAACAAATCTAAAGAGAGTTCCATTTACATTTTCAGTCTTTTTCCATAGCATAGATAATTTTCATTTTAAGAATTAAAGGAAAAGTTTCTTGAATCATGTTTTCCAATTGCTGACTGTGAACCTTCTCTTCGTCCTTGCTAGCGATTTGCTACTGGATTTCAGTCAGCGCATCAGCGCCAGTAATAAGATTTTGCTCTGAACAGGGAGCATGAATGATGCGTGAGCTATGAGTTTTCCTTAGAGGAAGGTGTTATGCTCACTACGTTTTCAGCATTTGACATTTTGGTGTCATCAAATATCAGATGTCTGCATTCTGCGTGTCTCTTTTTACGAACGAGAAGAGGTAAGAACCTCTTCTAACATCAGGTTAAGAGGAATTTTCGAGAGTAAATAGAAGTATTGATCTTCTTCAAGAGACAGGACTTTTTTTCGCTTTGACGATTTGCTTAAATTAAGAAATCACTCGGCGTGCAAAAGAGGTCATAATTCAAGCAAAAGTCAGAAAAGTTAGACAAAATACTAGGAAGTTAGACAGTCTAAGGTAGTGTGCTAGATGATATTACCAAATCGCATGTAATAGCAAGATATTCAGAAGTGAAGGAATAGGACAACTTCACATTTCGTAGTACAGACCTGAATACGATTGGTGATGTCTGTGCATTTTACAAGTAGCTTATAATCTGGAGTGAAGAGTCAAGCCAGAAAGGAAAGCGCAAAGAAGAAACAGTGAGATCAAGGAATCCCGCTATAAAGTCTGTAGACACATGCCCCTTTCGTTATTTGTCACTATTCATAAACACAATTTTTTACAGAGCCCACCAGCGGACGAGCGGTAAAGTCGCTGAACGCTGGTAGTTCGGTCCGAGGTTCGAATCCCGCGAACGGGCTGGCTGCATGGGCGTTTTCGTGGTTTTCCCCATGTGTAACGTGTATACGAGCCGGTTTCCCTTAGAAAGTCTTCCACGAAGGCATCACTCCTCTTTGGCAGATAGCCCTAGTGTGCTTTGCCATAATTAAATACACACACACAATTTTTTTACAAATAGTGCCTCATAATCACTGTGGCCGAAATAAAAGTGTTCACTGGCCTACGATAATCTTTTAAAAAAATAATTCGCAGCCTACTTCCAGAAAAGGGAGTGCCATCTAATTCAGGACACAGATGCGAAAGGATAGTACTCTGAAAATGAAAGTATCCACTAATGCACTGCTCTACGCGTATGTATGTGTATGTATATATTATTTTTAAGAGCGTGCATTTTGGGGACTAAACTGTCACAGTAATTTGACAAATTTATTATTACATAAACTGTAACAATGTATGTATAATACACATTATCACATTAGTGTTCATGTTTATTTAAAAAAGTATCCAAATAATATGTTTCTTTGCACACAGCCTTTTTGGGTGAATGCAAGCATGCCACCTGCCATGATTTTTCTTTAGCGTCTATGTTGCAATTACGCTTTTTCTGGTGCATTTGGAAAGTAGAAGTCTCCAAAAGACAGTCTTTTTTTTTTTTTTTTTCCTGTCTGCATTAAATAAATAAATTGTTTCTCACGTACAAATTGAAAAAAAAAAAAAAAAAAAAAATTCGAAAACTATGATGTTTTATATAATTCATGAGCAAGTCAATAATTTTATTTCTTGATTTACTTATCATCACTTTACTGTAATATACAAAGAATCTTGTTTTTATATACGTCTGTAAACCACACAAAAAATTTATTTTCTTCTATTTCTGAAATTTCAGATCACCCTATTAATCATTCTCAAGACTCATTTCCATGCTGTTATTAAATACATATCTCTAAGGGCAGAATATACTTTAGAATAAAAAAATGCTCTATACTGTCGTTACAGTATTCAGGTATTACTGAGGAGGTGGTTACGAAATTATACTCCGATCAAAATATGATTTTGGCCTGACCTCTTCTTCATTTCCTCAGAAACAAACAAACAAAAATAATATTACCAACCGAAAATTAGATTTTGAATTTAAAACTGACTGCTATGTATCAGTTATTTAAACTGCGCCTGAGTGAAACGTTTTCCTTATAATCATATAAAATTTCTTTTCTTCTAAACTTTCCCTAGTACATATCTTTAAAGAATTTTTGCGGCTTGTTCCTGTTTTTGTTCACAGTAATATATAAATACCAATTATACCAATTCTGTTGGAAGCTTAAGAGGGTAACGCGCAGGGCAGTTTGAGGAATGGGACCCCCGAGCCCTCCTCCGGATAATCAAAGGGCGCCGGCGTGGACCTCCAGGGAAAACTTAGCACTAATGGCCTACACCCGAGGGCAAGGGGGTGTATAGCAGCAACCCCCTCTTCTCTTGCCGATAGATAACGATTCAATCCCAATGGGAGTTTTTCCCGGATTATTAGATGTCAGTTATGTCTTCACTAAAATTCGCGATGTGTTTCTTCTTCAGTGTTGAAAGTAAGTTTTGCTCAGCTAATTCAGTATGCGCAGAGAGAAAATTGCTGATGTGGATTTGCATGATTATGATTGGATTTGTTAATACATGATATATACTAAAAATTAATATCAGCTATTAGTGTTATTCAACTTGCAAGTTAAAGTGATATGAAATAATACGGAAATAATGATAAAAACAAAACGCTTGTTTTTAGCCTCGTACTTGATGGAAGTACAGCATAGTAGCATCTGATTGATTTTATGATTCCCTGTACCATGTTAGTACTTTTTAAATGCTCAGAAATGCAGAAATAAATATAATGAATGCAACAGAGGAAATTATAAAACAGTTTATTACAAAAGTTTCATGACATACTTTGTAATAATTTCAGAGATATCAAACTTTAAATTTTTTCTCCTTAACATGTTTCAATAAGTTCCTGATATTAATTATTTTTAATAGGTATAATTACTTAGATTACATTATGGGAGAAATTAAAGAATATTGTTACGAATTTTGTACTTAGATAGGTAATTTTAATATAATTATAAGTAAAATTGTTTTTTTTTTTTTTTTTTTTTTTTTTTAACATGAAAAATTTAAATAGCAGCTATGCCGGAAAAGTAAGAATACAGGGGTAAATGCTTTTACCATTGAGTAAATGGGGTATCTCGGTAATTTGGCGAGACATTGCCAAGCGACAACGGTTTTGGAAACTTATTACAAAAAAATTACCTGACTTGCTTAAGGATAGGAAATTGATTTTGAAGGAGTTCCGCAGATAATTGAGACAAGTCTCCTAACCAAGTAAGAGGCTGAACGTTCACTCCAGCAAAAATAAAATCCTCCTAAAATCTTTCCACAGCTTAAAAGAGCTCTATATGGATTGCAAAGCAAAACAGGTTTTTGCAGCAGTTACTCATGCTATTCAAGTACAGAATAAAAGCAGTACCCTACAACGAATAACAAATCTTCCAGGTGGATCACAACTGTTGTGAACAATGGGATCACACAGGAATGTAAGCAGATACCACCTGAAATAAAATTAACTTGAGAGAAAAAATATTAGGGAGAATAATTAAATAAAAATATTTTCACTGTGTTTTAGATTAACTTCGTATTAGTATATTCCGATGACTATTACCTGTTCAAAAAGTATTATAACCGGGATAGTAATTACCAGAAACGGAATTTGTAATTTTACGTATTTGTTACTCTGACGATAAGCCAGCAATGGACAGTTTGAAATCTATCAAATTTTTACATATATAATATTAGAAATTGAATTAGCGATTAATAAAGAAATGTAACACTGCAGGATTTCAGTTTTAAATTCTATTTGTGTTAAAAATTTAAACTATATTTACTCGAAACATGTCGCATTTCAGATGGCAAAGGATCGCAAGTAGCTCGCGAGCTGCAGTTAACACCTTAACTGCAGCTCGCGAGCTACTTGCGATCGGTGTCAGAGAGCCGCAATTTGGGCATGTCTGCAATGTAACCTTGAAGGCTACCACCTATAATTTTTTATATATAACATTACTTTTTTATATATAATGGAGTATGGTTTAAATTTTTTTTATGTATGATGGAATGTTATAGTGCAGCTAAAAAAAGGCCAATTACCTTTACTAGGAACGGAAGCCTTTATGAGTAACAGCCAAGCACCTCTTTAACCAATGGTGAATATATAAGGATCGTTCAAATGAAAATGGCATTACAGTCGGTTTGAAAAATGGTTTAATAATATTAATATAAATTAGTATACAAAAGAAAAAGTAATACAGACGTAACAGATAGGCTAGGCAATATCACCTTGTAAGTTGAAACAAGTGTTCCAGCGATTAACGAGACGGTTCGATATCCTGGGTGTAGTTATGGAACCAATTTTCAACGGCAGCTTGGACCTCATTATCGTCGGCAAATAGCCCTCCCTTTAGATATTTCTTGAGTGGACCGAAGCTGTGGTAGTCACACGGCGAGAGTTCTGGGCTTCGGCGGTTCCTGATATTCTGTCTCAGTTTCTGCAATGTGGCACAGTGCATGGCAACAGTGATAACCATGAACGTAGGTAGCCATTCCAACAGTAGTGGGCAATCGACGTCAAAGAAGCACGTTAACATGACTTCACCAGCTGTAGTGGACGTGAGAGCCTTCTTCGGGCGTGGGGATGAAGAGGTCGCCATTTCCGTGCTCATGCTTTTGTTGGCTGATCAAAGTGATGGCACCATGTTTCATCAACGGCAATGATCCTTGAAGGAAATTGGTTCCCCATTTCGTGGTACCTACCGCATAAGGAATTTCATGGAAGCAGATATGTGATGAATCTCCTGCTCCTCTGTCAAATGTTTTGGCACCCATTGCGCACAAACCTTGTGGTATCGCAACCTTTTACGCAGTACTGTGTGCATACTTCTTATGCTCATAGACATTTTCTTCGCTATTTCTCGAGTGGTGATTCGCCGATTCATTTTCACGAGACGGTCCATATCTGCAACCTGCTTCACCACATGCGCTTGATCAGGTCGTGGCGTGTCGTCAGTACTGCTTCTTGCACTACGAAAATCCCTAAGCCATCGGAATACCGATCTGCGTTTCATACACTTCATGCCATACACATTTTGCATTCGACGATAGTTTTCAGAAGCACTCACATTTCCCGCTGTTAAAAATTGCACGACCATGTCTTGATACCGGGATATAACCGGGATAGTGGAGGACTCCATGTTCCATGTTCCACTTTATGTCGCGATTAGCTCATAGAATTACTGTGTTCCGGCAGTCATAATGTAGTTGCTACGAGGAGCGCTGAAAGTAAAGAAATGCATGAGCTGGGTGGTGCAGGACAGCTAATGTGTAGAAGGGGGTGTGACCAACTTAACGTGAGCACGAGATGACATCTGAATGGTGCAGTTCATTATGTTGGAAATACGATAAAATACAAAATACAAGAGAGAATATAAGATTATATGCAAAATAATAAAGTTCTTGATTAGATAATCACTATTTACATATGTACAAAGTATCAGGAAAGCATTATAAGCTGGAGAAATTAATAGTAAGTCATAAGGCACAGGTCACGTGGGAGGCCACCCTCACAAGTCCTGGCTTTGGTGAATGCTGCTTCATTTTTTAAGTTAGAATTGCAGTCAGACTTTGAAAATAATAAGCAATTATTTAAGTTGGAAAGTTCTGGTTGCTGTCTAGCATGAAAGCAGCGAAGGGACGGAGATGTCTATCTTCATCCAGTATTTCATACTGAAACAAATTAAATTTGTCTAGATGCTCACAGTCCTTAGCTTTCCTTAAGAAATTCTTATTAGTTTTACAAAGGAAATTGTCCATGGTCTCAATTTTTAGATCCTTGTGTAATTTCGTTGCGTACAAAGTAATATGCGTTGGTTATGAGTCTTAAGAAGCGATTTTGAATTACTTGAACCTTCTTTAAATCAGACGCTGACACAGTGGCTCAGGCTGGTGAAGCATAGGTCATTATTAGTCGTAAGATCGACAGATAGATAAGTCTCTTTTCTCTAAACTAAGTTTGGAGAAACGGCCTAACATGAGATATGGACTTTTCATGACATAGATCGTTTTTTGTCTTACATGACTGATATGATTTGCCCAAGTCATTTTACTATTTAAAATCACACCAAGGTATTTTGCTTATTTTGCTTGAGTCACAACAAGGTTAGGTTCGTTGTAAAGATTGAGTTGATTTTTTAGTTTCTTTTTCTTTTTCCTTCTGTGGATGATAAGAAGCTGGGATTTAGAGGCATTAATTTGGAGGATTCCATGATGCAAACGATGTCTTTTAAAGTGTTCTTACACTATCACACACGCATCTGGGGGGATCTGACGATAACGCATGCACTCCCAGCACTCTGTGCCCTCTATAGGGGCATGCGTAGTCATCTTTCTCTTAAAATGTCGGAGTTATTACCAGACCACTTTCATTTGAACGACACATCAATTCTTTATTGTGAATTTGCCTAATACGAAAGAGAAAGCTATAAGGGTTTTCCAGTTTTTTTGTAAGATAAAAAATATTAGAAATGCAATAATAATAGCAAAAACCATAATTTCAGTAATACTATTATAAAATTTATGAAGTTAAAATAATGAAAATTAGTTATGAAATTTTGAAATTTGTTGTGATTATTCAAAACGGATGTATAAATTTTTTATAATTGTGATATTGTGTGTAAAGTTTTGAAAATCATTCCCTGAAAAAATGCAATTATCTGAACTCTAAAGCACAAAGATTTGAGGCTGAAAATATTAATAGCACTCTAAAGTATTATCAGAATTTATATTTTTTAATTATTTAACAATTATTTTGAGAAAAATTTTATAATTTACATCTTTCAAATTATGTTTCTCTTCATTTGCCAATGCTTAGCTTTTTATTCTCTGAAAAGGCTTCTCGGTCGATAAGCTTTTTTCTCTCTGCGGGGGGGGGGATATATATCCCCCCTGCAGCAATAGCCTCTTAATTTCCTCTTTCTATTCCAAATATCCAAATATAGCAATACCCTTTCCTGCACTTCGTCATTTCTAGATCAACCCATTTCAATTCAAAGTTTTTCTGTGCTTCCATGCCGCTCTGCAGCGCGTAGCACAGGAAAGGAAGGCGAACCCGAGCAAACATATCATATGACCTTGCACAATGCACATGACGTAGCAAATTCGAAACTTAAATCAAAACTTGCTCTTAATAATCTGCCATATTGGATAACTGCGCAGTTCTGCTTCTAGCTCTCTTGCCGTTTAAACGCTGAAATGCTGTTTTTCTTCCTATCGCAAGACTTTACTTTGTAGCATTAGGCTCTTTTGATGCTGGAGACGTGAAAAATAAGAATGGCCTTGCCCGGACTTAAACCTGGACCTCTCGAATACGCACCGAGCTGCGTATTCGAGAAAACGTGCGTTATTCAGCTGCCGTTACACCACGAAGGCATGCAGAAAGAAGGGACAAAAATACCTTATAACTTTTCCAAAGAAGTTTCTGATATTCACTTATATGACCCATCTCTTATTTCATGTTCGCATTTACTTATAAAGGGGAATACACATTGCATATATTCATAATGAGCTCATATTTATCCCACAAATGTGAAAATATTTCTCTTATTGTTTGAAATACTAGTAATTAAAAAAGTAGTAATACTATTGTCCTAATTTATAATTTAATTAATATTATCATTTGAATTTATTCTAATCGTTTAAAATAAACTGGTAATTTAATATTTGCTTAATTAATTAAAATGTGACTTCTAAAATTCAGTAAAATATAATTTTTATTAAATAATCCTGTAGATTTTTTTTATTATTATTATTTTTTTTTTTACTTTTCCGTATGTCTAGGTAGATAAGAATACGTCCCTTCCATCCTTCATTTTTTAAATGTCCGTAGAAATCATGTGACATCCGAAAACAGAGGATAAAAGAAAGTAAAACAATAAGAAGTGTCCGATAGCGTCCAGCAAAGCGTGAAGACAGACTATCATAAAAAATAAACCCTAATGAAAAGTCCCTGTCCGCAATAATGGCATCTGCCCGTTCATTTCTCTTATGAGAAGATTAAATTATTAAACACTCGAATCCATTAGGTTGGGGGGGGGAGCAGCGAACGAATGAAACCGAATAACACGTAAAAAAGGAATGAAATAAATCGTTCCCGCCTTTTTTATTGGCTAATATAGATGATTAGTTTCATTTCCCAAGTTCCTCTCTTCTTCCACGCCATCTTGGATGGGGGAGTCAATTCTGGTAATCGCCGCTAGGGAAAGTAAAAAAAAAAAAAAAAAAGATAAATCGTGTCAGAAAATAAAAGATTTCTCTTTTTGGTTTCTGTAGAAAGTATTCAGTTTTTTTTAAATATGTTATCTGATAACATCTGAAGATAACTTCATCTCTGTATTGCAACCGTTAAAGAAAATGCTGATAATAATTACAACGTAAATAATATTAATTAACATTATGTTAAAAATTATATTCCTCGGTCATAATACAACTAGGAACCCTCGATATCCTGCACCAGAGATAACCTATTCAAAGAAAATAGACGTCTTCTTATGTGAGATTATACTCTGAATTTTTAACATAAATGCATAAATATATGGTAATAATATTTAGATCTCGTTTCTAACTGGAACCGAAATATCTTCTTTCCATATGTAGCACTGAGTTTTTGAATCAGTAGAATTTCGATCGTTTTCCTTTCAACGATCGTTTATTCGTATGTTTGTCACTTTTGGTTTCAAACAAAGTTCTATGCCAATAACGTCGTTTATTCTTTCATCCATTTCCAAATTATATTTAGTTATGTCTTATGTACTCTCGTCGCTAATTAAAAACAGACATCATAAATTTAGCATAAATAAAGTATCATAAAAAATTAATAAAATTTTTTTCGGACTACTTTAATGAGTTGGTAGGTTCACTGTTCACTGTAATTCCATTCTTCAAAATCTGTTTTAGGGCGGAAGGGAAGAAAGGTAAACAATCAAATCCGGCGTGAAATTTCTATACGAAATCCCTGAAAATCCCTTCATCTTCCCTGCCCCTATTTCCATCGGGGGATTACAATCTGCGGAACTAAGTTCCTCTGTTTCCGTTAGTGTAGTTGAATCTAATACGTGATGGATTATTTAAAGGGGGGGTATGAAAGGAGGAGGGAATCATAAAGCTCTACAAAGGGTGTTTTTTTTTTTTTTTTTTTTTTGTGTGTGTGTGTGTGTGTGTGTGCTAAGCGATATAAGTGTGAAAGCTCTTGAGCTTTAAAAAATTTTATAACATGAACAACTTTAATCCTATTAAGCAGAAATCATATACCGTACTTTTTGGAATTTTGGAAGGAATTTTGTTCCGAGAAATTAATAATTACGCTAGAAAAGTTTGAAATTTGCTCAGAGCATGTGAATTTAGTTTATCTATTTAGGTGTTTAAACAGGGTAAAAGTAAATCAGCCTTTAATTCCTATAGATTTATTATTGCTACTGTAAATATATTGGGTTGCATTTTATGTCTGGCATCTAATTGAAGTTAATATGTGTTTCTTTTATAATCCAACTGATAAAAGATTCAGCTGAAAAGCTAACTGATCTGGGTTACTTAACTTTTCTTTTAAACCACAGTCTGACAAAAGCTGTCAAACAGTTTAAAGTTAGGGTTATTATAAACCATTAATAAGTTAAACCTTTAATTACCTGTATTTTTTATTGAAGTAAAATTCATGATTTGTTTTTATTATCATGAATTAGTGTTATTTACTTTTAGAATTCAAGGATTGAGCTTTGCCTATTCGAAAAAATAATTTCGATCTAATCTAAATTTTTAAAATTATCCCAAAATTATAAATTTCTTATGTTGTTTTCCTTAATTGATATGTTATATATATTTGTGCAAGATATGGGAGGAACTTTTAACGTATTTTGTATTCTATTTTTATGGTGGGTTTGGCATTTTGCGTTGGTTCACTTTTCAAATTGTTGCCACCAAATATTATTGCCTTGTATTATATTTAAAGAAATTAAATAATAAAGAATCTGCATAAGATGTATGTTCTCGCATGTGGAAAAAACGAACCAGAGCCATCCAATTTGAATGACTAACCTCCTGCGAAATGGGCTTCTGGAAGCCCAAATTGGAAATTTGGGCTTTTTTTGTTATCGCTTCTATTTTAAAACTTTAACGAATTGAAAAACAGACTCGGACAAGCGAG